GTTTGGTGATTTACATTTGTTTATCAACGTTATCAATGGCGTTATGCTAATGCATTGTGAGGATGTAATCATTTTGAGACGCTGTATGGCCACATACATCTCGATGGCTGTTCACTTCAACACGCTGTTCGCTAGTCAGGTGATAATCACAATGCTTTGTTCATCTATTAGTGTCCACTCAAATTCTGGCTCAAATTTAGCGAATTGTAAGTATTTGTTAACTGGAACACCTTACTTACCAGTGACATTTCAGTGGTTGCATTTTCCATGGAATGAATAAAGTTTAATCACAGCCTCCGGGAGGATTATAAAACAAAACGTTCTTGTGATACGCTTCATTTTCAGGGATTCTTTTTGATAATGCCAACACTGCTACGGTGTTACAGTCAACGACAGACGAATGCGTTACTTTGTCGAACCATAGAATATGTTTGTAAACAGTTCTATGTGCTGCATCGAAAACCGTTCTTCCTGCAGATGGCTGGCGCTGTGGCGAATATATTGGACACGAACGATAACGATTTTGAAGTGAATCCAATGAAAGTGAGGAAAATTTCTCAATTTTGACCAGTTCAATTGGTTTGATCCCATAGATACGCCTTAAATTGTAATTTTAGGTGAAAGCAAAATATTGGTTCAATTTGTTGAAAAGTATGGAGGATATGGCGAGTTTGGAGGATCCGTTGGATATTCTCGGACTTGTCAATGAGACGAAACCACTTCGAGTAAACGCTTCATTGCCTCTAATACTCAAATTTGTCTGTTCAAATATCCAGAAAACGTTCTAAAAATTCATACGACTTACGATTAGATTAATCGTCTCTGCTCAGTTCAGTCTTCAGTTATTTAAGGCGTTGGATCTATGCTATCGTGATGATCCGAATGCGTTCAGTATGTTGACAGATGGCTTGGCCAGTTGTGTGACCGTGTGTGCGTTTGCACCTGACTCAAGACGTTCCTATCAAATGCTTGTATGTCGTCACTTTTCGTCGCCCGATTCCCCATATTTTCTAAACTCATCAATTTACTGCTCTCAAACTGTTCTTACTG